AAAGCGATGACTAACCTGAAGGCTGATCTTTTACAACACCATTCTTGCTTCTCTCTTCCCAATCCATGACTTCTTTGTAAATTAGCTCTGCAGACAGAAATGCAAGTTAAAAGGTTTCGTCAGTTTCTCTGCATCTCTAAACCCTGCTTCCAAAAGGACTGGAACCACTACGGGCGCTGGGTGTTATTTTTAATTGACACACAGTTCACTCAGAAATGTAGTCACCCGAGACCAAAACATCCATGTTTTGATCCATTACATCTTTTCAACCCAATATTAAGGCAGCCAAAAACATAGGTGGTTCTGGATCCACAGGGTGTTTTATGGGATGGGGGGTGTGGGAAGAGGAGAACTAGTAAAGTGGCTCTTGTAGAACATTTTAAAGTACTGGGTGTTCTCACACCCGTTTGCACACATTTCTCTCCATCGTCACTGTGATTCTCCAAACGTGACCAGCTGCCACAGATGGGCTAGAAGCCCCTCCAGACTGGCCAGAAATTAATCCAAATACCTAACTTTTTTCATGACTTCAACCTGAGTTTCCTCAATTTTCATTTGTAAGAAAAACTAACTACCTATTAAGTAAGCAAATAGGGATTCCTAAAATTTTAGTGTTCATGAAATAAAATGAGCACACTGCAAGCATTTCCTGAGGCCTTTTGCCAGGGAGCGTGGCTATGTGCAACGCAGTGTTAAGTGTGTGACCACACAGGTCGCTGTCACTCTGGATACTGTGGAGGAGCCTTGGGCAGGATGCATCACCGCTTTCGACTTGTCCTGACCACGGTTCTCAATAATTCCTAATTCTACTTTTTAATGAAAAATTGTTAGTTCAGTCTCTTTACTGCTGGGTTAATTTGTGGTGGGTTGTTTGGTTAGTCTTATAGTGGTAATGATAACTATTTGCATATTTTTTATCTGCAATTTTGCCCAAATTCTATTTTAAAATACATATACAACTAAATGGCTTATAAACACAGCAGAAGTTCACATGGCCCCAGCGAGGTCCCCATGTCTGCTTTACAAGAGGCCTGTAAATTGTAGTTACTCAACATTTCAAAATGTATCGTCAAAGTAAGTGCACACGATAACTGAGTTTAGTTTACAAACCAAGATTTAATGATGTAAGATCATGTGAAAAGCCCTTATTTTTCTTTTTTGAAGCAAATAACATACAATTCATACACGTTCCTCTCTAATCTTGTTGTCTTCGAGTTCTTCTCATGGGAAGTGGGAAGAGAGGATAATGCAGTTTCCTGCCCTCATCCCAAAGGCTGCTGTTGAAAAGTGAAAAGCTGCCCCTTTATAGGACTTCCAGAAACATCACAAGTGAGGATCAAAACAAGCTCTGTCTTTACCTTTCCATTCTTCAATCGCATGTTCTCTTTCTTCCAACTGGGCGTCGTAAATCTGAGGTGGTGGCTAAAAATTAAATTACATGTAAAGTCAACAGTTTACAAAATAATGAGGAAAAAGGTATAAGCATCTGGAAGACTTCTCATATATTTATGGTATAGATGTAATCTCATTCAAACATGGCTTATGAAAGATTTCTTCATAAGTGTGGTAATTATATCAGTTTCAGTATCAAAATAATTAAGAAAAAGTTAACCCCCCTCCCCGCCAAAAAATAGAGCTATTATGGTCCTCTTTATAATCACATGACCTGCAAACACTCTAAAGATATCTGCTCAAATGTAATTATAAAATGAGTCATCACAGGCTGCTTCCTGGAGACCCACCCCGGACAAGACTCTGTGCTAGCAAACACGGAAGATGCAGAAGGTGGTGAAGGTGGTTCGAATTTCCAGGTCTTCCCGCTAGAACCCCCAAACCCAACCCCTAACTCATCAATACACTGTTCCAAAAATCTGCTTTAAAATCCATGTTTATATCCTGGAATCTTTTCATATAAAACAATGTTTAAAATGGTGGTCAAATCCCTAGGCCAAGACATAAAAATGTGTTCCATTGATGGCATAAAAGAAGCATGCCGCTATGTGCTTCTTTCACTCACAACTCAAGAGCTGCTATGGGAAAATGCACTTGAGCACCAGCACAGAAGTGGGGCTCCCCTTGCACGTGCCTCTGGGAAGAATAAACTGTGATCCACAAATTTCTTAGCCTATTTGGGTGCCTGAACAAGATGATGTAACCAATGCCCAAGGCACAGTGCCAGGTATACAACGGAGGCTTAAAAATGGTGACACAATGACCATAAAGATGATTATATTGCCACAGCATAAGCACATTCGCTCCCAAGGGACTCTGAGCTAGAGCCAAGGAATAAGTGTCCCAAAGGAGTTGTGACTCCTAGCACATGGCCTCTTTGTGATCAGGGGTCCTCTTAAACCTAGGACTTGCTATCCTTCTGTAGCCATTCCAGGCTGACAGGCAGAGACTGGGGGAAAGGTAAGACCTGCCTCCACTGGTCAGTCTTTCCATGAGAGCAGCTTACCGCTTCTGCTTCTGCGGGGTCATACCAAACGGTGATGTAAGGGTGACGCAAAGCTTCGTCCACGGAGATGCGCTTGTCAGGGTCTATCACTAACATTTTCGATAACAAATCTCTGGCTTGACTTGCTAGAGTGAAAACAAATATTAATTACTCATGCTGTTAATCTGAAAATCTCACAATAAAGAACTAAATGTGACATCACAGACACTGCAAAGATGTATTAACTTTGAGAATTTTTTGACAGGTTCAACATTAACAGTCTTTTTCTTTATGAGGAAGTCAAGCAGTCCCTTTTACCAGAAACCAGGCTTTCAAGTGTGGTTTCAGCCTCTGGGCTAGGGGAGAAGCACAGGGCAATTAAAGTTCACATGCATAGCAGAGGAGAGATGGGGCTTTTCTGACTGAGGTAGTTTATCTTGAAGTGAAGAGAAACAAATCTATTCTCCTTTAAACCACATTTTAGTGGTGGGCACAGGAGGCAGGCAGGGGAGGGGCTTTTTAAAAATTGAAATACTATAATTTGGCCTCTGACTTTTGAACTGGACTAGATCTTCATTCCAACTTTCTTTAAACCTGAAAACTTCTTGAATTCCAATTGCTGCAAATTAACATAAGTGTTTTCAAACTGAAACTAAGTCTTTATACTTTCTCTCTGTAACTAGCTTTCCTTCTAGCTTGTAAATGGCTTTACTTGAGGATTTCAACTATCTCCCAATGTTCATAGGTTTTAGAAAGCGAACATGAAAAATGAAAGCTTCATCAAGATTATGAAAATAAGTAGAAGAAAAGAAAGTATCTTACTTTTAATTTTGTCTCGTTCCGATTCTGATGGGAATATCCAATCTGGAAAGAGTTCTTCAAATTTGATTCCAGGATACTTTGGTCTGTTTTCTACATAATTCCTCACGGTTGGCTGAAGTTTCTTCATGAAATCTGCAGATGGTGTTCCTAGCTGCTCAATAACTTTATTCCATTGATCAATATCTAAGGAGTCTCTTGAGGAAAATACAACTGAAATGCCTTATATTCATATTACATGAAGCACTATTCAAAGTAAAACTTAAATTATATTTATACCTGCCAACCAGTAATTAACTAGGTCACCAGAAGCATTTTGAAATGATATTAAAATAAAGTTTGGGTTTCTAAGTTTAGACCATTTAGAAAAACTCTTTAACATTCTGCATCTTTTATAAACTATGATCAGTTTATTAAATCAACACTATGAGGTCTAAATGCCTTCCCATTCTAGATCAAAATAAAGTTATTCTGTAACTGAAGAATACTTATGACAGAAATGCTTAAACATGAAACCAGACAGTAATTCCATAGCAAATTGAAATCGGTTTTCGTGCTAAAGCTATGTTAGGTCTAAAGCTCCCTAAAGTGGGGAGACCTGGGGAGTACCAGCATTCACGGGGCTCTTGGCTTCCTGAACCCTCACCTTGTCCTTTCCCAGGGGCCATGGGCCTTCCTGTGGCTGGGCTTACATTGAGCAGTGATAGCTGTCAGAGGTCATTGTTTTACTTGGTGTCGACCCCAGTCATCACTGCAATACCTAGGAGTGCATTTTATTTCCTCTCGAAGTGCATGCCCTGGGTTTCAGACTCCATTGTGCATTAGATGCTCTTCAGGTGGTGGGAAGTCAAGCTCCCTTGGGTCTCAACTTCCTTATTTGTGAAATGTAGACAATACCAGCTTTGCCTACTTCACAGGGGGCTTAATGAGCATGGGAAGTGATTCTGACCCAAAGCAATTATGAAGGAATGCAAACTATAAACAGCAACTTGAAAAAGTGACAGACTGAGGTATGTCTTAGAAAAATGAAATTTCATCATTGTGAAAGAACCGAGGGAATAGACACCTGTTCTTCCAAATAAACAACACTCAAAACTTCCAAAACGTAGGCCTTCCACAGACCTGCCCGCTCGGGAAATGGATTTTGGACATTCAAATCACTAGTCTGCTCTCTCTTCACATCTCTGTTCACACATATTGACGAATTGTGCCTGAATTTTATTTACCTATTTAGCCAAAATGTGAAATCTATCCCACACCTACTGCTTATTCTCACTGGTGTACCATCACCCTTTTGCTCTCCAGTGGAGCGTTCCATCGCCTACCAAACATGATCTTTCCCCGCTGTTAAAACAGCAGCCAATGGCTTTTGGCTCCATACCTGCAGCTTAGCTACCATTCTCACCTGCAGCAAAAAAGAGGCTTCTACTTGTATCTCTAAGGCCAGCTTCTGGTTCTCACTTAAACAACCTCTTGACAGGCTATTCCTCCATCACTCCATAAAAATCTGCCCATCGAGGTTGCTGGTGACATTCCCTCACCCCAGTGGTCAATTCCCAGTCCTCTCCTTTTTAACTGCCTACCAGCCTCCTTCAGTAACTCCCTTCCTGGCCTCCAGGCCTTGCTCTCTGGGAGGGCCTCTTATGTAGCTTTGCCAGCTCTTTTCTCCGCCACCCAGAGGATGTGGTCCTCTCCGCTGCACTCACTACCGGTCTCTAGCTTCGCACAGTATTGGGAGACCACTCTCTGCCCTTGACATCTCCACTGACCTCCATCTCAGCACCCTAAGGAGGCTCTCAGAGGGCTGAGCATCCAAACAGATACAGCATCCCAGCC